TTTTTTTTTTTAATATAAAACTAGCCAGAGATAATTTCTCTTAAAATATGAAAGGATTGTAAAGGTACATTATTTAGCTTAGTTTAGGAATTTTTAAAGAAAAGAAAAACTCCCATGATTCGCAGACTTTCGCATATATGCGTGTTTCCATGAAAATGTAAACCGAAAATGCAAGCAAATGAATTCAAACGGCTTTATAACTTTAAGTTTCGTATTCAGATGGCGGAAAAAGGTTTTGAAAACGCGAAACGGTGGAGAGAACAACTGAAAAAATTTAATTTAGTATGTGTTACTAGTAAAAATATTGTATGGGGGAAAAATCTGTCGCATACGTTATGTCGCGTACGTTATTATATTTTTTTTTAATAAAACCTAACCAGAGAGAATTTCTATCAAAAAATGGAAGGATTGTAAAGGTACATTCTTTAGCTTAGTTTAGGAATTTTTAAAGAAAAGAAAAACTCTCATGATTCGCAGACTTTCGCGTATATGTATATGTGCCTTAAAACCACTTTTTTTTTGTCGGTGTTATCAGCTGGTTTCGAGCGGATATTTTCCACACCAAAGTTTCGAGGCTGCTTATTTTTTTCTCAAACATAGTACCCTTTGGTTGCAACATAACCGTAATCTTTTTTTTCTGTAACTTCTATTTTTGATAGATTTACGTTACTCTATAAGCGTACGAATGTCGCGTACGGCTGTATGGAAACACCCATATGTACATATAACAGCAGTTAATTTTATTTAAAGAAATGACGGTCGTCCAAATTCCGCTGTACCATGGCATATATTTAGGCGCAATATTTAACTGCTACCGGCGGGGCGACATCTGGAGTCTCTAATTCCTAGAACGAGGTTCATATCGAGACTAGATTGATATTTAGAATTTGCCACAAATAGCTTTGCTACACTATCGCCGGCAGGTTTAACAATTTTAGAGTGGTTTTACGTTCTTTGGCAAATTACGCTCTGTTAGCCATAAATATTACTATTTTTTTACCGCCTTTGAATCAAGACTCCTGGACCATATGGGGAATTCATTTATATATTAAATTGCATTGTCATCGTGATTGGAACTATCCTGAACACTTCAAGTCTCTAACTTGTCGGGAAGTCAGTTTAAAATCGATTGGAAATTTCCGCGATTTGCGCGGGATGACTAAGTTAAATAAAAGCTTATAATTAAAATAAATTAAAACAATAAATACAATATTAACGAGTTCTCTGCAATAGAATTATGGGTTAAAGAGCCAAGTGCTGTTCAGATAGTTACTTATAACTGTTATCTTAATTATAACCAACGAATTAAAAAAATATGAGAACAAAAATTTGTTGTTAAATTTTTATAATTTTGCAATTCTTGAACGTCAATATTTCGCAAAAATAAGCTGATACGATTTTAGTGAAAATGGATCTATGTTACGTAGGTGATAACGAACAAAGTTGCATTTTCAATTTACGTCGTACGTTTTAGTGAACTTTTTACTAATTCAGGAACAGTGTGTATACACTCCGATGTTCGGGATAGTATTTTGAATATACCAGCAATATATGTAAAAGTAGTGGCGACTTCTGTAGAGCATTTCGCAGAGCCTGAGTTCAAGCCCAGTTTCCCCACCAACATCAAAATATAAAAAACAGAAAAGTTTTTTTCTAATAGCGGTTGCTCCTCTGTTAGTGATGGCAAACCTCCGAGTGTATTCTGTCATGGAAACAGCTTCTCAAAAAATACAATTGCCGTTCGGAGTCGGCGTAAAACTGTCCTTTAGTTTGTGTGACAAGATCACGCACGCCACATATCGGAGGAGAAGCTAGGCCAAACGCTAACATATTGTGTAAGCCAATATGTATATCGTCCTTTAAAGTACAAAAGCGCGTATCGTAGTTCTGCAAAACCTCGAAACTGAAATTTGTGCCAAAAAAGATATTTGGTCACCGGAAGCTCCTGACATCAAGCCCTTAGACATTTATAATAAAATATCGATACTTAGGCATAAGGAGAGGAGATAATTACGTTTAAAAGAGAGAACCGTTTTTAATTAGGACACGTTTTACTCTCTCCTATAAAATTTAGTCAACCTCACATACGAGGTTTTGCATTTTCTTGATGCGCGGTTTTGTGCTTTAAACGACGATATGTAGAAGTACTGCATACATATTTTGGTGCTTTTCAAGTATAAAATCCATTGAGAAACGGAAGAAAATGGCATCCCTATGATTTCAACTTACGCCAAACGTTTCGTAAACAAGCAATTCTGAACAAATAACCGTTTTTCCACAAAAGATCTTTAAATGGAAGCATTACAAATATGGAAAGATTGCAATCTACAAGGATTTATTGGGAGTAGGTACTTTTTAAAGCACAAGCACGAAGCACGAAGCTAGCACAAAATAATTTTTGTTTGTTTGTTGTTTACAAAAAAATTATTGCCAAGTATATAAGTCAAAATTGTTAAATATATATCGCTTTCATTCATGTCTTCATTTTTCCGATGCATCGAAACATGTTACCCTCCAAAATTTGCATCCCTTCCCATATTCTATAACTACACTTACTGTGCAAAACGAAGAGCTACCACAGGAAGTGGAGAGTTCACCTGGATGATCTCATAAAAAGAAAAAAATTTACTCTTTAAAGGCCTCGACTGCGACAACCCCGCAAACGAGTTAGAACTGGTATTCTTGCTTTGCGCAGCACCGCAGTGAAGTCAACAAGAAAAATTTATGATAAAAATGGTAACATGACCGTTTTAACCGAATTCGATTCAGTTGACGCAATTGAAGCAGTTTTCCAGAACATTAAAAAACTAGGTGATTCAACCATGAGAAATGATCGTATTAAAATTAGTAGCCACAGGATTTACTAAGACCGAGAGAAGAAATTAGTAGAGAGTCGAAAAAATGCAATCGACACATTCTAACTCACAAATAGTAGCATTCACTGCAGGTAAATAACTTACCTTCCAAACATCCGAGATTCGATCATAAAATATAAAATGCCGCAGCCGCCGTCGCCCCATGAGTCCAGCCAACATGTCACACTCGTTGAATTGTTCGTTATCATTTGAGAATGTTTCGGCTGTACAGGCGGATTTCCTTTCGTGTACGAATTGACGATATCACATGGCAATCCTGTCCCTATCTTATTGTACGCAGTTATGTAGAGCTGATACCGAGTTCCGCACCATAAATTAGTTAATAAATGTGAGTTCGTTTTGGCATCTACTTGCAGTTCCTCCCAATCGCCATTTTCTCTTTTATAGTTTATCACATAACCGAGAATTGGACTTCCACCATGACTATTATCCATCCACTCCAGATGTAAGCTATCTGTATAGCTATTCACCACTGTAAGATTCGGTGCGTCTGGTGGCACCTTTATAACAATATTATATACAATCTCATCCTTGCCCCAAGTGTTTTCGACGCTACACGTATAATTGCCAGCATCAATAGCCTGACATTCACGTATATAGAGAGTACCGTTCTTCGCAATCACCTTTCGCGCATTTGTATCCATATTGTGCCCGTCTTGCCTCCAAATGGTCACAGGTGCTGGGGAACCCACTTTTCGGCAAGGTAATTCAATATGCTCTTTCCAAGGGCTTATTATACGCTGACTGAAGGAGACTATACGTGCGGGAACTTTGTTGTTCGGGGGCACCGTCACAACCTGAGTTTTCTCACCCTCGCCAATCTTTGTTGAGGTTGTAAGCCAAAACTGATATGTAGCCGATTCTTGTGTCCGCTGCGTCTCATGCATTTCGACAAAAGGCCCAAGAATACGTTTGTGGGTACCTTCTTCGCGACCACCTTCAAGCATCGACATATAGAAAGTGTAACCGATCTAGAAGATATTGAAGAAAATAAATTTTTATGTGATACAGATTGAAACATTAACCATACAATGTCTCCATTAGGAAATTCCGGTGGTAGCCATGATACAATTATTTTTGTGCTGGAGGCTGGTATTGCTTTAATAGCCTGTGGTGCAGAAGGAACTAAAAAGAAAGTTTTGTATTATTAACTAAAACTTTTCACAAACATTGACAATGCGTAAAAAAGTGTCAATAAAGCTCACCAACGCTTACCATCTTCATGTGTACGACAATAAAATGGTTTCGTCTTCATTCCATCGCCCACTTTGGTGTAAGCAATCACCCAAACCGTGTAGTTGGTGTATTTGCGTAGATTTTCCACCGTGACATATTGATTTGTTGACTTAACAACCTCGGGATCAGTTTCTATATATACCAAAATCAAAAATGAGTTATATTTTTATGTATGTACATATAAATGCATTATTACGGTGACCATAAATAAATACCATATATAAATGATTACGGTGACCATAAATATGAACTGAAAATGCACGAAGATTTTCAAAAAATATACCTACATATGTATGTATGTCTATACCCAGCAAAAAA